GAGACTCTGTCTCAAAAAAAAAAAAAAAAAAAAAAGTTAAAACTGAGCAGCTTTGAAGCCCTTGTTTTTAGCCCTCTAAAAATATTCCCATTGAATTCGTGAGTCAGAGATTTGAGTCATTTCTCTAGTAAGCTATGACACTCCTAGGCAGCTTTTAGGTTTGATTTCTGTAACAAAAAATGCTAAAAAGTTCTCTGATCCATTGGCTCCTAACCTTTGGATCATAGGACCCTTTTGAGAAGCATAAGACAGTCTGCCCAGAAAAATCTGTATCCACAGATCCCCATGGTTAGGAGGCCTGGCTCTATTTGACCATTGCCCGGAGAGTTCCAGACCTTCTGCACTTGGCTGCAGTCAAATCCCCTACAGGTTCTAAATTTTCACTGGGGCTTTGTGTCTAGAGGGGTTGGAAAATAGGAATAATACTGCATCTTGAAAATTTTGTATCACATCACATTAAATTACCTTCTCTTGATCTCTATATTTAAAGACTGGAGGTAAAGAACCAGGCAAGAAAGGAATTTTATTTATAAAATGAGATAAAAGTTATTTGGGAATAACAAACAACCTGATTCAAAAATGGGCAAAGAACCTGAGTAGACATTTCTCCCAAAAAGCCAATAAGCACATGAAAAGATGCTCAATATCACTGATCGTTAGGGAAATGCAAATCAAAAATACAGTGAAGTAGCACCTCATACCCATTACATTGTATACTAGCTAAAAAAAAAAAAAAAAAGAACAGAGCTGACATAGTGGCTCATACCTGTAATTCTGGCACTTTGGGAGACCGAGGCCAGAGGATCACTTGAGGCCAGGAGTTAGAGACCAGCCTGAGCAACACAGCAAGACCCCATCTCTACAAAAAACAGGAAAATTAGCTGGGCATGGTGATGTACACCTGTAGTCCCAGCTACTCAGGAGGCTGACGCAGGAGGATCACATGAGCCCAGGAGTTTGAGGTTGCTGTGAGCTATGATGGTGCCACTGCACTTTAGCCCAGGCAACAAAGCAAGACCCTATCTCAAAAAAATAAAAAGAAAAACAGAACAGGAAAGGATGTGGAGAAATTGGGACCTTTGTGCAATATTGGGGAGGAATGTAAAATTACACGGCCACTGTGGAAAACGGTATGGCAATTCCTGAAAAAATTAAGAATAGGATCCAGCGATGCCAAAAAGAATTGAAAGCTCGGTATCAGAGATAATCATACACCCGTGTTCATAGCAGCGTCACTCACAATAGTTAAAATGCGGAAGGAACCCACGTGTCCCCTGACAGATGAATAAATGAGCAAAATGTGGTATATCCACATAATGACTATTATTCAGCCTTAAAAAGGAGGGAAATTCTGACATATGCTACAACATGGATGAATCTTAAGGACATTAGGCCAAATGAAATAAGCCAGTCACAAAAAGACAAATATCGTATGATTCCACTTATACGAGGTTCTCAAGAGTAGTCAAAATCGTAGAGACAGAAAGTGGGATGGTGGTTGCCGGGGGCTGGAGGGAGGCAGGATGGGGAGTTACTGTTTAATAGGTATAGAATTTCAGCTTTACAGAGGGGAAAGAGTTCTGGAGATGGTGGTGGTGATGGCTGCACAACACGATGAATGTGTTTAATACCACTGAACTGTATACTTAAAAACGGTTAAGGTGGTGCGTTTTACATTATGAGTGTTTTACCACAATAAAAACAGTTGGGGGGAAAAAGGTTACCTGGGGCAAGACATGACTTGTACCTATGTTTGGTTTTTTTTTAACTAGTAAAGAAGAAAAAAATGAGCCGGTTTCTCTGCCTGAATTAACCAAAAGGCTTACAGAAGCAAATGAGAGAATGGCTAAGTTTCCTGAGGGTATTAAGGTAAGATTGATAGCAGCTCATTTGGTGCAACATACTTTTTTGTATTATCACTTGACTACACCAAATTCTTAAAAGTCATCTACTTCTCTGTTCAGGTTCTAAATTCTAAAATCTCTACCCATTTGTGTATGCTTAGAAATTAAGGATCCAGTTATCTTTGGTTAAGCTAGAATGTTTTGTGAGAGAATTACTGATCACACAAGCAGTTTTATACCTCAGTCTTCAGAGAACCCAAACAAATTTGATAGCTGGAAGGTAAAAGTAAAATTTAAACTGGTATTTGACAGCTTACAGATGGATGGGTCTAGTTGGCTGTGGTCCTAGTATTAATAGAAGCAACATTATTTGAGTTGACTTGAGTATGGCTCTTGGAATAAGATCATACCCATTGGGAACGACATCCCAGAAGCCATCCTAGTTTTGAGTGTCATCTCTCCTTGTAGTAACTGATGACCAGCAAGAAAGGACATTACCTTATGAGAGAGCTGGCTCAGCTGTGCCCAAGAGATGTCAACAGATGAGTCTGAGTTACTGGTGCCTTCTGTGCCGGTGTTTGTGGCTTTTGCAAATACTTCCTTACTCATCATCGTATCATCTTTCAGGCCTGGCCCTTCCCAGATGTGCTGGAGTGCTGCCTCGTCTTGCTTCACATCGCATCCCAGTGTCCTAGCTATGTGACCCAGGAAATGCAGCAACAGGCCCAAGAGCTCCTTCAGAAATATGGCAATACTAAAGCTTACCAAAGACACTGCCAGACCTTCTGTACGTGAACTTTCAAGGACCTTGAAGAAACTGTGCCAAATTCTAAACGTTTGACACATTTCACCTCTGCAGTTACAACTCACCAGACATTCACTCTGGTCCCTAGATGTTTTTGCAGTAATCCAAAATAATGCAAATGAAGGTTAAGTATGAATCAACTCTCTCTACCCTTAGACACCGTGGAATCTGACTTTGGACTCAATTGTGGTTTTCTACTGGAAAAGATGATGAAAAGCCAGCAGTAGTTATTCAGAACTAACACACAGAGTGATTGTTGGTTATCTCTAAAGCCTTATGCAGGTTTCGCCCAAAGAGGAGAAACTTTTGTAATCACCCAAAGTGTTATGTTCTTAAACACGAGCTACCTTTATAAACACTTCGCCTGATTGTAAACATGTCATTCTTGAGATAGAGTTGCTGCTTTCATGACTACTGGGATAGTTTTTTTTAAATTGTTTTTGTTAACCTGACCTCACCCTTCTCCTACTCTTTCAAAGATTGAAGTTTGAATGTGAAATAGGCCTTACCCATCATGTTGACTCTTTATGCTGTCTGAACTTTAGGTCGAAACTTTGGTTTTATTGTTTTATGTAATTGCTCATTTGGACCAATCACTTACTAAAGCTTTAGAAGAACAAATAACTGATCCAAATGTGTTTTCCCTTCAGTTTTATAAGAAATAATTGAAAGCAATCAAATAGCTCGAGACAAATTAGTTTGAACCACTGGTTCTTAATCTTTTTTGGATCACAGGACCCTTTTGAGAATTAAAGACACAGATACTCTTTGAAGAAGAATGCATATTCCTAATTTTGCATTTATGACTTTCACATTATTAGACTTCAACTTTAGCATAATGGAACCCTAAATACTATTTAATTATAAATTCTTGTTCTCTTTGGTTAGACAGTTGAACAGTGTCAAGAAAAAATGTCTCTATAGTATCTCATTTACTGGATAAGAAAATCATAGTCTGGGCTAGGAGTGGAAGACAGCACTTCTTCCAGATAGTTGAGCTGTTTTCTTTTGGGATTCATTGCAAAGGCTTTTTTGCTTTAGTGTCTATTTTCCAATAAATTCCTAGGGTCGGGGTTGTTGTGGATGGCAAGAATGAATTCATTAATAGGAACGCTCTCCATGAAGGAAAAAGTTAGAGACAGTTGTCAAAGACATTTGTATGTGCTTTAGCCTTAGAGTTTAATAAACTCTAAAAAAGGAAATATTGTAGAATTTAGATCCTCATAGTTATACAGTTAAGTGAACTTTAGGAAGAGGGATGCATTATTACTAGGGGTGGAGAATCTTCTTGACTGCAGATACAAGTAGGTAGGCATGGCTAAGTGGAGAACTGGATACTAGTTCTACAGTCTGCAAAAATGAACTTTACTTACAGAGATGAAAATACGTGTGTGTGTGTGTGTGTGTGTGTGTGTGTGTGTGTGTGTGTGTGTGTGTGTGTGTGTGTGTGTGTGTGTGTGTATTCCACCTGAGTAAAGAGCAGTAACTAGAATTCTAAACTCCTTTGTGATTTGCCAAAACCATCAGCTGTGGATGGAGGAATCCTGCACACTCCTCAGTCACTGCTTTGGTAAGAACAAGAATTACTATTTGAAAACTAAGCAATAAAACTACCCAATAGCAGAAGAATAACAAAAATGACAGCTCAGTTTCTTCTGAAAGTTCTCTTTCCAGGACTGTACTCAAGCTATTATAATTTGAATAAATGATTTTCATTTGTATCTCCCTAATTATTAGAACCACAAAGAGCCAAAGCATTGAGGATTGAGTCTGAGGAAACAGAATGTATCATTAAGCAACTTTATGGTCCTTTATCTCCATCCAAAGTAATTTTACCTCTAATCTCTTCCCTCTCTCCACAGAAGTCCAAGCCACCATCCCATTACCCAGATGACTGCACTGGCCTCTCCCAATGTTTCTCTGAATCTGCTCTTATTACTAATTCTCTGTTCTTCAGCTGGCAGTGGCTATTCTAAATTGCAAATCAGACTTCATCAATTCCCTGTTCAAAAACCTTACAGTAGTTTCCCATTGTTCGTGGATAAAAATCTTGAATGTGGTTTACAAGGCCCTGCCTGGTCCCAGCCTTACCTCCTGGCCTCCTGTCCAGACAGGCTCCTCCTTGCTTCTAGATTCCAGCCACACTGGTCTCGTAGCTGCTGGAACCCAACAGCTACTGACTACTAGCTTTAAAAAAAAAAAGTTCTCTTGTCACCTTAGGGGTTTTGTCCATGTTGTTCCTCTGCTTGGTTCAGTCTTACTCATCTTTTAGACATCGGCTTTAATGTCCCTTCTCTGAAGACTGTCCCTTAACCTCAACTTCAACATCAGTGTCTTGTACTTTATAACTCACAAATTGTATTTGTGTGACTCATTCACTGTTTGGCAACACAGATTATAAACTCCAACAGTGGAGATTACGTCTTCTATGTATTTACAGCATCTAGTATTTAGTAGGCACTTAATGAAAATTTATTGACTGAATAAACTAGGGAATGGCAAGAATAATCATTGATAGGTTGGACTAAAAGGGCTCCAAATTGAACTCTATATTCACGCCAGTACTAGCCGACAGTTAGGTTTGTGGTTGGTATTCAACTTTACTGAGTTAGCAGAACACTGGGATTCAAGAGCATCTGGCAGTAAATGTAGGATTGAATTACACTCTGAGTTATTCTCTTGGTTATCCTACAGCACCATGCCTTTCTGAGGATAACCTCTTTAACACAAGGTGAAGTTCTTGCCCGTTCTAACAGACGAGCTCTTTCAGCACCACTGTGATAAGCCGTCTCTTCTTACCTTTCCCATGCAATGACCAGACTGAGTTCCTCAACCCTTTATCTCAGCATTTCTCCTGACATATAAATCTGTCCTCAACTATAGAAAAGATAAGTTCCCTATTTTAATTCTAATTTAGAAGGACATCTAATTTAGGGGTCACAGTTACCAGCATGCCAAGGCCCCCTGGTTGAGAACCATACTTTCACGCATCTTACAGTGGTAAATCTCTTCCTATATATGAACCTCCCAGTCAAAATCCTCTATCCGCTCCTATACCTCACTTTTTACAACCTTATTTTTGTGCCAACAGAAAAGGCACAAAGTCCTGAGCCAAGTCTAGTATATCTGAAGTTCAAGTTGCCTAAAAGAATCCCACTAATGAACAAGCTAATCCACCATATATAATAGAATGGCCCCCGGAAATAAACTGATTTCTGATTTCCTAGAAAGGCCCCACAATCAGCAGAGGGTATAAGTGCAAAGACAATTCCATTTGCACAGGTGCTCATTAAAAGCTTCCTACCAAGTGAGGTATTTTGTACACAGGCCAACTTGTGAACGATGGAGGCAAGATGCTCTGACGTCACTGACCGTCTTCCAGCTGTCTTCTTCCTTCCAGAGCCAGCAGTTCATAGCTATGAAAGACCAAACCTTCATGCCAGTGGTTAAAAAGAAATCTTTATTTTACAAAATTAAAAACATAAATAATATTTACAAGCATCTTAAATACCAGCTTATAATACTTGACATCTTTGAATCATTTCAAATTGAGTTTTCCATAAGCTTTTAAAATGCAAGACTATTCATCCACTTCAGTGAGTTACCAGTTCTTATTTCTACCATTCCAAAGGGGTTTTTGGTTTTTTGAAATTTCCCATACTGTAGTCATTCAAAAAAATACAGTGTACTTTTTAAATGACTACTAGCTTTAAAAAAAAAAAGTCCTGAGCTTCTTACCGCAGTTGTGGGATAGTACTCCAAGGGAACGCTATAAACCAAACTCCTTTATTGCCCTGTTTACATGTAACCACTGTAACTTTTTAAAGACTCACATTCCCGGTACTCACATTAATCCATCTCCCTGACTTCTCATGGTTGCTGGAAGAAAACGCAGGGAAAATGGAAAAGAGAGGTGGGAGAATACAGCTGACCATCTGAAATCACATCACTGAAAACAACAGACTTATGACTCCAAAATCTGATCTTACTGATTTCCTTCTGGATCGAATCCAGGATCCTTTATTATGTGAAAACTTAAAATGATTTCAGATGATGCGTACGTGACAGCAAATCTCAGTGGCACAGTGGAACACAGACTTAAAGACACTTCAGTGGTCACCAATACCCATTCTGGAGTTTCTCATGAATGAAGGGTAGACAGATTCAGTAGAATTGTTTGCTTTTCAGAAAAGTTTCATTATCTAGTCCCAAATTTCAACACCAAGCAATTCATTTCCATATAGTAATACATGAAGAAAGACTACCAAAGTGTGAGGAAAGCAAATGTCCTTGAGAAGGGTGAGAAAAGGAAAGGAAGACTCAGTATCTATAACCCAATACACAAGAACACCATTTTGTTCCATTTTCCCTGGAAGCCCTCAGCTCAGCTGAGAATCACAGCAAGAATCTTCATCATCAGAGATCAGCAACAAATTTAAAAGAAAAAGAATGACAACAGGTAAGAGTTATATACATTTTACTAGTTTGTTTCAGACTTGTCCTGTATATTTAAAAAGGTGTCAAATGAGCCATGGATGCTGGTGGCAGGAGGCAACCGGAGAGGAGAGGCTCGGGAATGAGGAATAGGGAAGACTTGTTTACAAATTCAGAGCAAACTCCCCTCTTCTGGATCTAAAATAAAGACGTCTTTTGTCTTCGGTAAAACAAAAGTCTTTCTGCTCGATGCAGATGGTAGGTACAGTTTGCTCAAAAGAAGCGTTTTTTCTTGGTAAAGAAGATGAGTACACAGTCAGCACAGTAAGCACCACTCTGGGATCAGGCCCACCCTGCAGAGCCCGCCACCATCACTGCTGTATGTTGTTGATAATCGCCAGGATGCTCATCTTCTCCTGGGCAGAGTCCACATCCTCATTCTGCTTCTGGGCCACTCCTGTGCCTAAACCATAGAGCCGCCCACAGTACTTGGCATCATCAATACTGTCCTCAAAAAACAACTGCAGAATGGGACAGAGAACCACGGTGAGAATCATGCCAGGAGTCACGCCAAGTACAAACACTACTACGTCAGCACCGCCCACCTCTCTTCAAGCCCTGAAAATCTAGCAAACTAGAAAGAAACTAACTTAGCAAAGAAAGACTCCAGAATTTCCTATACATATGGTATTTCATGCTCCTGTCTCTAAAGGAGAAAGACTCTCCTTTAGGCTCTCCTTTCTGAACACATTTCTGCTTTCTATGAATTCTTTCACTGGATCCCTATGCTGCCACTGCTTAGTACAACGACCCCCTTCTCCTTAACAGGCAGGACGATGATTAAGAGCTTGGGCTCTGGACTCATTCTGTGACCTTAACAAAGTTACGCCAACTTTTTTTAAGCTATGGTTCCCCATCTATAAAATGGGATAATATAATAATACGGTCATTATGAGGAGTGAAATAATGGACATTAGGCACTTACAGCAGGGTATCTCAACTGTGGCACGACTGGGGCAGGATAATTCTTTATGTGAGGGGACTGTCCAGGACATCGCGGGCTGTTTAGCAACATTCCTGGCCAGCAGCAGCACAACACCCTACCATACCAGGTTGT